ATACTTTGAATCTTCAAATAAATACCAAACAGATCAGCTTCATGTGATAGTTGCAGATTTTTTTTCTTAATGTGTCTGATTCCATTTTTGACCCTAGATCAAGCTTGTCCAACCCGTGACTCAGGACAGCTTTGAATGCAGTTCAACACAAATTCGTAAACTTTCTTAAAACATTTTGAGATTTTTTTGCCACTTTTTTCTAGCTCATCAGCTATCATTAGTGTTAGTGTATTTTGCATGTAGCCCAAGACAATTATTCTTCTTCCAATGTGGCCCAGGGAAGCCAAAAGATTGGACATCACTACCTTAGAGGATTGTTTAATCAAGGTATAACTGTGCTAACATAAAGAAAAAGTTTCAACTATTTATGTAAAACTAGTATGTCAGAATACAGTTGGTATGTTTTCCTAAAAAAGATTTAAAAATTCTGCTTATTACCAGCAACCACTTAACAGCCCATATCATTTAACTCAATGAATTAAATTAATCCCATGAAATAAAATGTGAGATAGGGATGATATCTGAATTCATTTTTATTCATGGCTAGAGACTATGAAGATTCTTTTGACAAGCCCTTAAAAATCTTGTGGGTGATGTTAAAAACTTCAATGTTCAAGTGCTGATTCAATCTGGGGATGGGGGTAGGGACCTCCTGATCTGACACAGTCAATTCTATACAGAGAACATGAGAATAGAAAACCCCCAAGCCATACAAAGGCTGCTGGAGTGTTCACATGCTCATTACCTGAATTTTCTAATGCTGAACAACTGAGGGATATGAATATGCAAAGCTCATAGACTCTGCCCAGCATCAGCCTCTTTCAGCCTCTCCTTTTTCGGAAAAGGAAGTCACAGTGCCTCTGGCTTTCGAAGCTCTGTGTTCTGAATTCCCAAAGCAAGCGGGAGAAGAGAGAAGAGAGAGTGTAGGTTTTTATGTGCTTGTTTGTTTTTATAGCAAAAACTAAATTTGCCTTTTTCAGAGTATGTGCTTTCAGATCAATATCAGAATTTAGCCAGTGACTCCTCATGCATTTGCCTCCCAGAGTTAGCACACATGGTTGTCCCAGAGGCAAAACAAGAGAAATCTCATTGGCTCAGCATCCTGAACTGTCTCAAGTGAGTTGCAAGTTCTTGTAGTTTTCTTCTGTTTCTCTGTGTGTGCTTTTTATGATACACAATAAGTGTACACTTTATGGGATACATGTGATATTTTGATACATGCGTACAATGTGTAATGATCAAATCAAGGTAATTCTGATAGTCATCACTCCAAACATTTATCATTTCTTTCTGTTGGAAACATTCCAAACCTTCTGGTCTAGCTATTTTGAAATATACAAAATATTATTAACTCTAGTCACCCTACTGTGCTATTGAACACTAGAACATATTTCTTCTATCTAACTGTATTTTTGTACACATTTACCGACGTTTCTCCATCCTCGTCCTCCCACTTACCCTTCCCCAACTCTGATAACTGCCGTTCTACTCTCTACCTCCATGAGATCTACATTTTTTAAGTTCCTATGTATGAATGAGAACACGAGATAGTTGTCTCTCTGTGCCTGGCTTATTTCACTTAACACAATATCCTCCAAGTTCATCCATGTTACTGCAAATGACAGGATTTCATTCCTTTTTATGGCTGAATAATATTCCACTGTGTATATATACCACAGTTTCTTTATCCATTCATCCACTGATGCACAGTGTTGATTCCATATCTTGGCTATTGTGAATAGTACTGCAACTACCATGGGAGTACAGAGATCTCTTTGACATACTGATTTTTTCCTTTTAGATATATCTATGTGCTTTTAAAATCCATTATTTGCACTTTATATATTTCTATAACTCTATGCTCAAGATTTGTTAAAAGTCCCAGTCCTTTCTAAGAATTCATGCTTGTTTGTCCATTCTATCAAACATTAATTTTGTGTAAGAGTGACTAGTTCAGATAAGGATATCTCCTAAGTCTACCAGTATCCTTTACATTTTACCAAGTGGAAGACACACTGCCTTCTCTCATAGTCCATCTGTAACCCCCTTTCCTTCCCTTTTCCACTCTGTGCTGAACAGCAAACAGCAACCAAACTATCTTGGGCCAACAATACCATCTACTGGTCATGGTGATAAACTACCAAAACTGCTTTAGTATATTCACAATCCATGTTCTCCCATTTATTCTATAATCAAAACCCAATAAATTATCTTGGAAATTTTTCAGCAAGTGAAAACTATATACACTCAGGCCATCTCAGTCACCGAAAGAAGCCCCAATTCACCACTCATTGTTGTAAATCACATTCTTGTACAGCTCTGTCCATTCCTTTATATGACCCAGTCTCACACCCTTTCCCACAATACACTCTTTCAGCGTGTTCCTTGGAGTTCACTGTGGGTCATTAGCAAAATTTCCTATATCCTTGAAGTAGTCTCTACATCACCTTCGTCTCTCTATTCTAAATGAAACCTGATCTTTCTGCAGCTATGAATAGTCACTGCCAGTTTCAGCTTATCATCCTTTCCTTCTCCCTAAACATCCTTGCTTCCGCTGAAGTTCAGCCATGGGTCACCTCACTTCTCCATATGTCCAATCATCTACAGACTTCATAGTCACTTTGCATCATTCCTTGAAGATTCTCATGCCCTACCCACTGTCATCTCTCCAACAGCATTCTTCTCCTAATTCTTGGTGATTTCAATATCATTGAAAAGATCCTTACAATAATCTAGCCTCTCAGGCTCTTGGTGTTCTCTCCTGCCATCATCTTGTCCTCCACATCACTCCAGTCACCTGCTCTTATGGTTGCACTCTAGACCTTACTATTATCAATCACTGCACCCCCTTTCATAATGTCAATTTCAGATGTCAAATACTCCCACCACTACCTCCCATCTCCATCTTATTCTGATCATTTTCAAGTCACACAATGGACATGTATCTATTGACCTTAGCATCTATTTCTCACTTCCTTATGTCTGCATTTACCTCTATCCTCAATTAAGATTCAACAGTTCAACATGATAACCATTACCTTATATAATCCCAATTCCCTTGTCCTTCTCTTCCACCATCAAATTTACTTTTTCTTAGTTAAATCCCAACTTCCACCTACTCCTTCTTGCTTCTGATCTGTTGAAAATGGCTGAAAAAAAAAACAGTTATGCTAACAGATTTACTTCAGTTCCTAATTGTCAACCTCAAGTGGGCCTTCACTGTTGCCAGGGAATTTCACTGCCTTTGAATATACACTTTCATCTCTTATTCTCCTAAACAACTATTTTATACCCTTCTTTTCTCTTCGAACCTACAGCGTCTTGCCATTTATTCTTACTCTAATTCTCTTTATTCTCACTATAACGACTTTGCTCTTCATTTTACTAAGAAAATAGAGATAATTAGAAGGAACTTCCTCATGCTTCCATCACCAAATACACACACTTTCCTCTATGCCCTGCATCTTGTCTTCCCTTCTGTTACATTAAATAGATGATCTCTGTTCCTATCTAAAGATAATTCCACCTATAAAATGGATCTTGTCTTCTAAGAGTATCTTTCTGGAAGTTATGGGTCTTATCTGTATCATAGTTTCCTCTCTGACTGGATCATTTTTGTCTTTAAAAATAAACCCCTGCCAGGCACAGTGGCTCATATCTGTAATCCCAGCACTTTGGGAGGCCAAGGTGGGAGAATCGCTTGATTTTAGGAGTTCAAGACCAGCCTGAGCAACATTGGGAGACCCTGTCTGTATAAAAAATTTTTTTAAATTAGCCAGGCATGGCGGCTTGTGCCTGCAGTCCCAGCTACTCAGGAGGCTGAGCGGGGCGGGGGGGGCGGTGATTGCTGAAGGGAGGTGGAGGCTGCAGTGAGCCATGATGGTGCCACTGCATTCTAGCCTGGGCAACAGAGTGAGATCCTCTCTCTAAAATAAAATTAAATTAAAAAACTCAAACTCTAACTTGACTGCACATGCCCTCCTAGGTACTACCTGATTTCTCTGCTCCCTATCATAGCAAAAACCTTCAAAATGGCGGGCCGCATTTTCTGTCTGTACTCCTCCTAGTATTTCCTGAAGCAAGTTCAAGAGGCTTGTATGCACTCAAAGATTAACAGTGATATCCATGTTGCCAAGCTAATGGTTTTTTCTTAGTTCTCATCTTCCTTCATTATCAGAGGCATTTGTGTCACTTTTGATCATTCCCTTTCTTAAAAAGCCTTCCTTGCTTGACTTTCTTTCTTTTTTTTTTTTTTTTTTTTTTTTTTTTTCCTAGGTCTCTGATCATTCCTCCTGCCATATCCTTGCTGGTTCCTCTTCATATTCCAGACCTCTACACTTGAGAGTGCCAAAATGTTCAATCCTCAGATCTCGCCTTTATCACTCTTCAGGTGATCTCACTTAATCTTCAGACTTCAAATGCCACCTACATGCAGATAATTTCAAATTTCTATCTGTAGCCCAGGCCTCTTCTTTGAATTCTAAACTCATATAATCAACTTCCTACTTGGTATTGCCATATGGAGGACTGACACGCATCTCAAATTTAACATGCCCAAAACTGAACTCGCGGTTCCACCCCTCACATATGTTCCTTTCCCTGTTTTTGCTCATAACAGTAAATGACAACTTCTTTCTCTCAGTTTCTTGAGTCCAAGATCTTGAGTCATCCTTGACTCCCTCTCTCTGTTTTCTTGCTTTTTGTTGTGGACATTTTTAAACACAGATGAAAGTAGAGTGAACCTTGACCGCACTTTTGTTTTTTGCTTACACTCCACATCTGATCCATCAACAAGTCCTACTTGTTCTACTTTCAAAGAAAACACAGACTACTTCCCAGCAGCACTCGTCGTTGTGACTCTCTTGGAGCCACCACTGCTTCTCATCTGAACTACTGTGAGAGACTCCTAACTGTTCTACTGACTTCTGCCCATGCTTCTATGTTTTCTTTTATTTTTTATTTCTTTACACAGAGGATGCCTGTTCTTAGGCTGTGAAGACCAAGGGAAAGCGTGAACGCAATCCCTCACTACACAAATTACGCAGTCAAGTTTCCCACATACGGGCAAATCACGGGGGTCAGCACATCCAGAGTGCAATGGATAAACCTGGCCCTCGGAAAACCACCTTCGTGAACATGGTATCTCCCCTGCCAGATAAGTATGCTTCTGTGTTTTCAATGGAGCAATTGGAATTTTCTTGCAAGATTATACCACAGCTCTACTCAAAGCCCTCTTCTCACCTTCCTCAGAGTGGAACTCTAAAGTTCTTATTAGAGCTGCACCCTCCACTGCCTTGTCACTGCCACATGTCTTACCACTTCCTTCTCATGCCTTCCTCCCCCAGCCTGGCCTGCTTTGTGCTCTAACTCACTAATCATGTCTAGCTTCAGGATCTTTGCACTTCACGTTTCCTCTGCCTGGAATGCCATTCTTCACATCTCTGCTCAAAGGTAACCTTGTCAACAAGTCCTTCCCTGACCACTTTACAGATTAACATCTTCCTTTCTGCCCGGTCACTTATATCTCTATTTTAAAATGTTTTTTCTTCATTTAACTTATCTTCATTAACAATATTTATTTGTTTGCTTGCTTGTTTTTTGAGAGAGGGTCTCACTCTGTCACCCAGGCTGAAGTGTAGTGGCACGATCTCAGTTCACTGCAACCTCCGCCTCCCTGGCTCAAGCGATTCTCCCACCTCAGCACCCCCAGTAGCTGGGACTACAGACGCATGCCACCACACCTGGATAATTTTTGTGTTTTTTGTGGAGATGGGGTTTTGCCATGTTGCCCAGGCTGGTCTTGAATTCTGGTGCTCAAGCAATCCTCCCACCTGGGGCTCCCAAAGTGCTGGGATTATAGGCAGGAGCCACTGCGCCTGGCTATTTGTTGTTTTATATTTCTCCCCAACTAGAATGTAAGCTCCATGAAAGTAAGAACTTCATCTGTTTTGTTCATTGTTTCCCCCGCCACCCAGTGTTTTGAATAGTGCTTGGTGTATAATAGGAATTTAATGAATTATTTGCCAAACAAATATTTTTTCTTTCTCTATTCTTCCAACTGTTGCATCGTTAGCCAAAAGAATCTCTTTCTTCCCTCTCTCTCTCTCTCTCTCTCTCTCTCATTCTGGTTCCATCTATTCTTCCTTGTTTCTCTCTCTTTCATTACTTCTGTTAGCATCTCTGAGTCCCAAAGGAAGTAATGTAATCTGGGGCTGAAAATAAACACCTTCAGAGCCCAAGTGGGCCAGGCATGTGTTAAGTAGCAGGGTGCAAAGCCACAGGGGGTGGCGGAGTGTATCGTCTTACTCCAAGCTATTCACATTTTTTAAAGTTAAACAATCCACCTGTCCAGCGAGCTTGAGCCTGCAGGTCATAAGTTTGCTACCCTTGTCCTCATCACAGCCAGGAAGCCCAAGAATGGTGGTAGTGCTATACAGTTCTTATATGAAGGACATTTTCTTAAATTTTAAAATTAAATTTGACAAACTACAAATGCACGGTAGCCTGCTTCACAATTTCCTCAAGTTTGTCTTTAGTGCTTCATCCATATTAAATTAAACCTACTTTCTTCAAGTTCTAGCATTTGAGGTGTTTTCTTGAATATTTCACTCTTTTCTTTGTGTTATGACTAATATAAAATTGTCTACTAATTTTCATAGTGAGTTTTATATCTTAGTATTTAGTACACAGTATTTTATAGATCCTTTATAAGGCTTCGGGTCCCCAATGCTACCATCTAGTGACGAAGCAAATGGGATTAAATGAACTGTGATCAGCGTTTATTTTTCCTAAACAAGGCAGACCAAAATATGTGTGCAGCTTTTGAAAAGATAGGCCTCAAGGAAAAAACAAATCATGTCTAAAAATCCTCTGCTTAAAGCTCCTTTATTTCAAAACTGTGCTTGTTTCTATGTTTCCTTAGAAGAATAGAGAAACAATTGCCCCTCAGTGGTCCCCAACAGGTAAGCTGTGTTGGATGTTTACACAGGGCTACAATTTCCATCCTAATTAAGTACTAAAGTGAATCAGAACTCACCCCATGACCCTACCTTTTTATTTGTTCTCCCCTCCAAATCATTATCCAGTTATGCAAAGGAGACATGAGCCACTCTCTGTGGTCCTTTCAAAGGCTGAGTCCTGTAAGGCAGGGGCACCCCAGCCCCTGGGCATGTACCAGTACCCATCCATGACCTGTTAGGAACTGGGCCAACAGCAGAAGGCACATTGCCACACGAGCTCCGCCCCCTGTCAGATCAGTGGCGGCGTTAGATTCTCATCGGAGCATGAACTCTGTTGTGAACTGCACATGTGAGGGATTTAGGTTGCATGCTTCCTGTGAGAATCTAGCGCTTGACGATCTGAATGGAACAGTTTCACCCCCAAACTATCCCATCTCCCCGCCCATGGAAACATTGTCTTCCATGAAACCAGTTCTTGGTGCCAAAAAGTTTGGGGACCGCCACTCTAAAGGCCCTGGACCATTCCGACAAGGGAAGACTCTCATCATCAGGCCAAAGAAAGAGGCAGTGTGAGTCCTATCTGCTTACCCTCCTACCTGCTTACTTTCATATCTACTTACTCTTGAGGATTGCATTTAATAGGGAATAAAGGTCAGAGCTCTTCTTGCCCAGCAATCTCTGTTTCACTGAAATTTTAAGAAACCATGTATACTCTACCCTGTTTAATAATACTTGCCTGACCCCAAACAGCTGTGTTTGCATTCAGCCTCTGATTTTCAACAGTTTTCATTGGAAGATGAGTTCTAAGCAGCTAGTTAATGAACGTACTTTTGAAACATAATTTAAACATAAATGAAAATACCACTTCTTCTAAAGATCAAATTCAACAATAGAATTTTCTGGTCAGACTGGGTCACTATATATGAAAGGGAGGGGAATTGAGCACATGTTTAGATGTTACCAGCCTTGGAAGCCCTCCAAGATAATGAAGACTTCCATAATATGTGGATATTTTCCCTCAATGGCATGATTTAATGTTGGAGACAAAGACATTTTACAGAATTAACCAGATAATACTCAGACTGGGTCATAGAGAGAATTTTATAAGCAAGTCACTCCAAAATGGACCCTGAAAAATAGGATTTATTTGCTAAGTTCTGAATAAGGAAATTGGCCCATTTGTGAAATATTAATATATCAAAAACAAAACTCAGTTGATATTGGCTCTGGCCCCTGAGCTCAGCTGTAAGACTTTCTACATCTGAGCAGAGTTCTAATATGCAAACAGAAAAGTCAAACTATCAGGCTAAAAGGAAATTGTATCTTCTCAGAGGTCAAATTTGCTGAAACTTTTGAATAAGGTAGAGAAGGGCAAGAGGACTAAAGACCCTGGTGAAATCAGAACTGTGTCCCCTGAAGCCAGTGACTGAGTGGGAAAATAATTTCATATCCTCATGGCCAGATTTTAAGTGCAGAAAGCAATATAGTGTGGCAAAAATATGGGACATAAATTTAATAAAATGAGTTTTATGAGATGGGGCACTGCAGAGCTTCCCTAATTAAACTTTATCCTCACGTTAGGGCAATTTTCTTGTTTTTGAGAGCAGTCTATCCTTTATTTCTTAACTTCATGTCACTCTTTTTATTGGCAAAGCAATTATTTTTGCTAAAACCAGTGGACAGAGCTCATAAAGTGACCTTGTTTGCCCACGTTCTGCATTGCTGAGAGATATAAAGAATAAATATACACTTTTGGAAGAGAAATGAATCACTCAACTATTCCTCATCATAGTAGCCTGTGCCCATCATATAACTTTAAATTAGGTTATCTGCGTGAAGATTGGGAAAATACCCTTTTTTAAATGTAGGAAAATAGTGTTTGCTTTTGGAGACATTATATCAAGTAGGTTTTAGATTAAAACAGTAACTTACCGGCCAGAGGCAGTGGCTCATGCCTGTAATCCCAGCACTTTGGGAGGCCGAGGCGGGTGGATCACCTGAGGTCAGGAGTTTGAGACCAGCCTGGCCAACATGGTGAAACCCATCTTTACTAAAAATACAAAAATTAGCTGGGCATGGTGGGTGGTGCATGCCTGTAGTCCCAGCTACTTAGGAGGCTGAGGCAGGAGAATTGCTTGAACCCGGGAGACAGAGGCTGCAGTGAGCCGAGATCACACCACTGCACTCCAGCCTGGGTGACAGAGCGAGACTCCATCTCAAAAAAAGTTAAAAAAAAAAAGTAACTCATAGGAGCAAAGGAAGACTTCCTCAGAGGTCCTTAAATACATTCTCTTATGTCAGAAAACTGTACCTAAATTGGTCACAACTGCTAAAACTATTTCATGAAAGCATCTCAAAGTGATTTGCTAAAATTGTTACCTGTAAATATGTCTGCAGGGAAAATAAACTTGTTATACGAGTCACTACAAACTTCTACTATAAAAAAAGTATATCAAGTTGCATCATCCAATTACCCTTTCAGCTACTGAAAAGTCAACCAGTTATATAATGAGCATTATATACCAGATAAAGTACTACTGCCAAATAGTCCTTTCATAATTTAAGGCAAAACCCACACAAAAAGATCTTAGTTACAAATATTTATTCACAAATTACTAGCTTTATTAAATAGATTTAACTTTTGACTAAATAGATGGGTAGAGAGAGAGACAGAGAGACAGAGAGAGAGATACTTAGGAGGAAGTTAAGAATAATGAGCTCTAGTTCCTTCAAAAATAGCTGTGTTGTCATTTCTAAGAGGGGATGGAACAGGTAATACATTAGGTACAGTTTTGCTTTTTTTCAAGGTGAAGACCCTAAACTATGAGTGTAGTGATATACCATACCACAGTTTTTCAAGTCAAGATTTCTCAAGACCTCATTGTATTCTACCTGCTGAAATGTTATAAAGAAATGTCCAATGGTATGGACAGCAGCTCCAGATTATTTTCTTTGAAAAAACGATGATTCTCATCTGTTATCCACCAGAGGCCATGTCGGATACAGTTGTTACAGGGAGACCACAAGAACTTCAAAGCTGCTTGTTCAAGATGGATTCATGAAAGTCTCTATAACATTACCTTGCTTCCATTGATTATTTTTTATGAAAATCCAATCTTTCCATGGATTCTGTCCTCCTGAAGCATGTGTGGAGCTATGTAGAAAGACAGTGGGTATAAGGGTAGATATAAAAGTGGGTGGTAG